AGCACACAGAACTTTTTCAGGTTACTCTGTATACTCAGGGACATGTCATTTTTAAATTAAAAAAAAAATCTAACAGTAATGGCCCACATTGCACCTGCCCTTCACAATCCTGATAACTTTTCCAGCTACACATTTCCTATTTTCTGGATCAGCCTATGTGTCACCAGTCTCTAAAGAACATGTTTTGAATTTATTAAAAGCCCAACAGCAGAAGAATTCTCTCATTTGGCAAAGATACCATCACAGGGACACTTGCTCTTGGCTCCATGACAAGAAATCCACGGTACTTTGTTTGTCCAATCCACAAAAACACCATTCCTCCCCTCCCAACCAGCCCTTCAAGATAGTTCTCCCTTCTCCAGAGACTTTTCCAAACAAGTCTGCAAGTCTGAAGTTTTGGGTTTCATTTCATAAACAGGACACAACCCCCGAGTGCAGCTCAGGATACTGTCACTGCCACATGGGCTCAGCACTAATCACAACAGCCTTCTGAAATATTCCCTCGGCCCTTCCTGAAATATTCCCTTGGCCCTTTCTTTCCACTGAGAGGCCTGATTTTTAAACCAGCCATCTTTCGAAGTAGGCACAAAATATAAACAAGAAGCCAAACTCCAGGGCCCAGTCAAAGGGTATACATTAGTCATGGCAAGGCTGGGAAGGAAGGGAAGGGCAGCTGGCCCCAAAACGGTTGTCTGCACTGGTCCAGTTACCACGTCTCACTGCAGGGATTGCCCAATCCTTTAAAAAGACACAGACATCCTTCAGATAATCATTTAACTCACACCAGTTTGTTTTTTCAACTGCACCTCTAAACATAAGCTCCTCTTCCAAACTCTCTCCCTTTTCAGAGTTTCCAGCCTATCTGGATAAAACATTTGGTGAGGACTTCACTGACACAGCGATTTCATCTCACAGCGGTAAAAGCAAGAAACCTCCTAAGAGTGTGTGGATCTATCAGTTTAACAGCTGAAGAGCAAATACAGGGATGAACAAGAATGAAATCCCCAAATGTGTTCAGCTGCCCGAACACCTCTGAAGATGCAGATTTAACTCACTACTACAATCACATAGAGGATACAACAGAGCAGAGACCTGGATCCAGATTCTTGGATTCAAGAGCACCTTCTCAGCTTAATGTTCCACTAAAAACTTCCATCACTGTGATTCAGCAAGGGACCAGTCTCTGCTATTGATCCCAGCAGACTCTGCATCAGGTCTAGAAATATCCAAGGAGTCCTCTGGATTTCCGTCAGTGCAACGGAGCCATCTCAAGCCCTAATGATAAGCAACTGGAAACGGGTGACAAATAAACTTGAAGGACTCAATCACTGCTTAACACAAAGAGTCAGCTATTTAAATGTGCTCAAGCCAAGGAACTCATAAATGAAAGAAAACAATTAGTCAAGGGATCTTCCTGTTGAAAATACACTGTATATTAAAAAGATATCACCCCCTCTCACAGAGATACAGAGTAATATTGGTTATGTCGTTCCCAGAAACGCTTTTAATCAACTACAACCATTTCTCCTTCACTTTGCAGTCTGTAATTACTGTAACAGCATGAATTTCTTTCCTATAAAACTGATTTTCTCTGGAGAAACTCATGATCCTGAGATCTGTTGGAAGGAGATAATTTAGAAAAGTTCCTCCAAAGTATACGAAACATCTGTTCCACCCTTTTCCCTGTCATGATGGCAAGCAGCTGAAGACTGACTGGACAATTATTTCCACAGGAAAATTATTTGCATCAACATCCCTATAAGAGATGAAGTCTCTCCTAGGTAATACATTACTTTCCCCTAAATATTAACATATCTAGAGGATAATAATATGGAAAAAAAATCTGCACAAATATTGAGTTTATTCCAACTTTTTTTGGTAATTTTGGGAGGTGGCTTGCAGCACAATGTTGGACACTCTCTATCTCAATAATGTCAGCCTGACATTTTTCCCTATGTTTCCAAATCCTCCTTCACAGGTTTAATCTCTCATTAGTTACAGTTCATCTTAAATGCAGGAGAGACCCGCTCATTTTCGAGTAAGTTGCTCATGACTGGAAGTGGCCCTGAAGCAGAATGCTGGGTCTAAACACACATGACCTTTGAGAAATCTGGGTGTGAATTCCACCCAGTTGAACAGCTCAGCCATATTCTTATCTGCAGTGGAATCCCTCATGAGACCTCAGAAATACACTGAAATTACAGATGTGCATCTCTGGATTCTCCATCCATAACACAGTAGCCTGTAACTAAACCAGATAAGTGTTTAGATTTTATTAAGATAGCTGTACCCAAAACACCATATAAAGGAAAAGTTATCAGAGGTTGTAGATGGTGGGAGGGGGAGCAGTGAGTCACACTCACCACAAGTGGAAGTGCTGAGCCTCTGCAAAGCACTTTTAATGTGTCCTTGACAGAACAGCTCTTCCTCCCCACCACAGCATTTCTGAGAGAACACAACTGAGTATTCAAGTGGCAAAACCAACACTTCATTGTTGCAACCTTGGGGGGTAGAATCTGGGAAGTTCCAAAGTTTTAAATTTGTTAACTAAAGAGCTGTCAGTAACATTTGCAATGCATAATAGTCAGGATCATTCAGAAAAACTCAATGGTCTTTCATCAAGGAGAAACAATAAAAAAGAACTATTTTAAATATGAAATATTACAGGCAACAGTCTTCCAAGAACAATGGGAATCAACAATTTGGAACTTATCCTTTGCAAGTGATGGGTGGGTGTTGTTCAGAGAGACACAGAGCAATTTCAAAGCCAGCAGGTAAAAAATCTCAGAATACATCTGAATCTCCAGCTTGGAGGTAAGAAGTCTTTACTGTTTTTATTATAGTTCCACTGGAAAAAAACCTTGGCAACAAGGCAGTCCAAGCCAGCACAATTTTAAGGGAAAGAGAAAGGATTTCATACTCAGAAACACACATCAAGAACTGCTTTTCAAATATGTCCCATTCTTGTCTCACACACAACGTTCTGCTCTGAGTGACCTCACTGAAGGCAAAAAGACTATACACAGTTTTTAAATGTCAAACACACACAAAATGTTTTAGAGAGCCCCTTAAAATTTTAAAGAAGCAAGGTCTTTCCCATAAAAGTGCTTTTGGAATTGCATTTATTTTGGTAAAATCCCCATCACCAAAACAAATTTAAAAAAAAATAAATCTGTCTTTTATCAGGGCCAAGTTCTGTATGATTCAGAGTGAGTAACACTGTGTCTTGCCCTGTGAATGGGCTCCTTTGTGCTCAAAGGGAGAAAAGGTGGGAAGAATCTTATACTTGATAAATTCACAATTCCCTTGTATTATAAGCATATGCAGGGCAAATTACTTCACCAAAATACAAGGAAATTCCCCAAAAACAGGTGTGCATGGGGGAAAGAGAGAAAGGGGTAAAAAATTAGGTTTGATTCCAGCAAAACATTTCTTGTCCTTATATTCCTGTCTTTTTCTTCCTGCTTTGCTACCCTATAAGACATTCCACTAGAGCCAAAACAATGGGCTTAATTTTAATGTTAATGGGCTAAACATTAAGTTAGCAAAGGAGGCCCTACAAAGAACTATTTTATCCAAAATAGAAGACTCTCAACCAAAGGTGGGGGAGGACTCGGTCCAGAAAGTCTTTTCCCAACATTCATCAATAGAATCAAAATGTTTTTGAATAATAAAATTGTCATTGCTAAGGGAATGAATTTGCCAGTCTAAATCCAGGCATCTCTACTTTTGAGTATAATCTTCTGCAACAGTTTTTGTTTTTAGAAGAGGTTCTCTGCTTCACCTCCAGGAAGTTGCAGCCAAGAGCACAAAGCCAAAGCCAGGCAGGACCAAGGAGCCATCAGTACCCCTGTACCCTCTCTTTTCACACCATTCTCCATCTAATGCCCTGACTAATTCTAAATCCAAGTCTTCAGTACTTTCACGAGTTGCAGACCCTGCATGGAATATCATCTGGGATTTATCCTGTTGAAGGAAGAGTTGGGCCAGGTGACAGGACTGCTTAGACTGCAAGATCTATGGGGTGGGAGTTGTTCTTCTGTTACATAATTCACAGTTATCCAGCAAAATCTGACTGAAAATCCAAAGGAAGAACTGAGATACTTTCTATCAATTACCATCCAGCAACTCCGTTTTTCTTTCAAGTCAAACACAGCACTTCCCTGCTCTATAATGCAGGGAATATATAATATATAACACTATAACAAAAGCTGTCAATCATGAAGACTTACTAGGGAGAAATAGAGTACTCAAATAACTCAAAAAACTGTGTCTGATGCAAAGGTATCTTCATTTCCAGAGAGACCAAAACTACCCTCTGACCAGTTTTCATCTGAGACTACATTTTGCAGATTCAGCTCCATAAACTGCAATGGAAATAACTGTGAACTGCAGCTGGTCATGTAAGTCCATAAATAATACTGTCCCTCACTTTTCACAAGGAGTTGTTTATCTGCAAATACACTTCACTTGTGCTGGTGAGTTGAATGCAGATTTTTCAGGGGTTCTCTCAGAGGGTTTTGTTAAACTGCTCAGGAGGTATTCCAGGATGCTTTTGAGGAGCAATACAGCTGCTGCGTTTTACAGTGAAGTGACCACTGTAAACAAGATTTTAACAGATCCCTCCCACAGGGCAAAGAAGTGTTTCCTTCCAATTCTCCTGAAAGTCAATAAACTTGTAAAAACCCCCAGATTTCAGAGAATTATTAAAAGTGTATTTCACAGGAATTAGAGCAATCACATTTCTGCTCCAAAATGGATCACAAGACCAATTAACTGACATTTGTAGCAACAAACTGTATCTGTGAACTACACTGCTCCCAGGAACAACTGTGCTCAGGAATGCACATGGAAGCAGGAGATAGGTTCAAGATGTTTTGGGGCAGACTCAATTACAGACAGATGTACATAACAGCATGTCCAGTCACAATGAATTAAAGCAGAACATACAGAAGAAAACAGATGAGGATGACCAAATCATATTGTTATAATTAACATACCTTGCAGTGACACCTGTGGCTTTCCAAGATAAGAAATCCGGAAGATCAAAGAAGTAGCCTGCCTTCTCCCAGGATTCCTGCAAGTTCTAATAAAAATATGTTTAGAAATGCAGATATTAGAGGTCAGGCATGATCATGTCCTTATTTTAATACAATTTAAAAAACTGATATTCAGGTAAAAAGGACAATTTTTTCAAACCAACTACTCTGATCATCCTGTCTGCTCTACTCTCTGATTTACTGCCTAGAGAACTGAGCCTTTGCCCCACCACAGGCTGATCTTAAGCAAAGTTTCCCATGAAAAGTTCATTGAGGCACAAGTTTCAGATCAATAACAGGAGCTCTCAGTTCCCCATCAGGTGCTCTGTGTCACAGAAGCCTTGAAGTCAACACACAATCTTCTCAAAAACCACTTGCTTGAAGGACACTCTACTTTCTAGAATTTACCATTTTAAATTTCGTATTTGTTAATTGTAAGCACAGGAAGGAAACAAACAGCTCTGTGAGCATAACAACAAAGCTTTCAGATCACACGGCTTCTGGAAAAGCCACTTGATGTTTCCAAACTCCTAAAAAACTCTTCTACCAAGACAGATCATTTGCAGGGAGTTTCCACTGCTCTACTCTGCAGACAGATGGTGATCCAGAAAGCAAGAATTCAATGCCCACTTCTGACCTTGGTACACTAAAACCAGTAAAGAACATCAAAACCAAACAGAAGTCAGTGCAGCTGACCACAATCAGACTACCACAGGAAGATAATATTGCTTTAAAAACCTCTACCAGCTTTTTAAATCATTGAAAAGGTGCAAAGTTTTCTCACTTATTAAGAGCAGCTGCTGTGCTAGAAACACAAGTCCTACCTGGGCTCTTTCTGGAGCCAGATTTAATTCCATGCAATATCAAGAAGGTACATGCTAAATTAAAAGAAAACATAATTTCATTTTAAGAAAGAATATGTGGCTCTAGAAATTCTTCTCTGTGAGGGTGGTGAGGCCCTGGCACAGGTTGTCCAGAGAAGCTGGGGCTGCCCCATCCCTGGAAGTGTTCAGGTTGGATGGGGCTTGGAGCAACCTGGGATAGCGGAAGGTGTCCCTGCCCATGGCAGGGGGTTGGAACTGGATGAGCTTTAAGATCCCTCCCAAGCCCATTCTGTGATTCGATGATTCTGTAACTTAATTCAAATACTACACGATATCAAACTACAATCTTACAAGTCCAGAAAATTGTTGAAAAGGAATCAATGAATTCCAGAAACTAAGGTGCAATTGGGTAAGTGTAAAAAAAGAAAAATTTTCTTTAGGTTTGGATCATGCAAAGAATCTGTCTTACCTTTCTGTTTAGTTGTTCAAAAGCTTCTGAAACATACTGGATTTCTACTAAGTTCAAAAAACAAATGCTCCAATTACAACTTTTTAACGTAAAAGGCACAACCTTTGGATGTTTGTTCCTGACCACTCAAGTTTAGCTCATGTGGCTGCTACACACGTCAAATTTAACTTCATATGTGAATGCAAAGGAGCTCCACAGTTTAGTCCAAAGGTCACTCAGCCTGATTATTTTGATAATAAAAGCCATTATGTGCTGTTAAGACACCTGACAGCCTTCAAGGAGCAACAGTAGTTTGTCTATTACTGGTAATAAGAAAGGAAGCTGGATTAAGAATAACTGTCCTCTTCAAACAAATCTGCTTCACCAAAGATACTCCTTGGATCCTGATTCTATTTCTTCAAGAATTCCCAAAAGCCACATGTTAGTGACACTCAAAGTATATTGTTTCATGAACATCCAAATGATTCATTTTTTGCCATCTCGATGCTGTGTCATCACTAATTAGTACAGACAACAAAAATCATGGTGCTTTTTCCCAACAAATTTAAACATCTCCATGTTTCACTGAAGTTAATTCAGATTTATTTTCACCCACAGTCAGGAGTCTGTGACCACATTAAAAGGATTGTGGAGAAGATCCGGGAATGTTCCCAATGCTGTGTTCACATCCTGCGACTCACCCTCCAAACTCACTTGGAGGAACTCACACAGCCTTGCTGTTTCCCAGGAGTACTTCCAGAGTCCCTTTCCTTCAGCTCTCTGATTGTTTTGGGTTGTTTTATAGATAATCCCAAATGCTTGGGGACAAAGAGTTTAAGAATTATGTAGTGCAATGCCTTTTAATATTCCTAGACAAGGAATGCCCAGAATAATGAGGGACTTTGTAATTGGACTGAAAATACACACAAAGGCAGAATTTCACAGGAGCTCCAGCATCCGATGAAATTTTTTGGAGACACCTAGAGCCACATTCTCCTTGGAAAAACTGAAAGAGCTTTAACATTCAGATTTTACTCAGGTTTGCTGAGGTAGCCTCTTTCTGTACAGGAAACCTTTGATTTCTGCTCTTACTGAGTGTATAGCTATCTTGTGAGATGGAGTGATCTTCAGTCACCTAATGTTTGTTAAAACACACGTTTTTCCACCAGAAGTAAACTGTGTATACAAACATTAAAGATATTCTAACTTTTGTTATTGTTAAGAGATTAAATATTAATCAAATTATCTTAAATGACATTATAGACAGCCTTCATAATAGATCCCTGTTGGCCATGAGATTAACTAAATTTAGGCTAGAAGCAACATCTGATTTAACACAGTGTATCAGTCTAAATTTCATGGCTACTTATCAGCCAAAGCCCAGAAATTCAAAAATCATCTGAGAGTGGTGTGTCAGAAATCCAAGTTAAAACCAGGAGGGACAGATGGAAGCAGAAAAATGTTTCACCATTTAGAGCAAAAATGAAAGCTGATGTGAGCATTCAAGTTCCACATCAGGTCAAACTCTAAGTCATCTGAAAACCAGAAAGAAACCTGAAAATCACTGAAGAACCATCTGCTTTTCCCAGTTCGTCCCCAGATTTGAATTTCCATCTCCCAGGCAATCTGTAGCACAGGGCTATGAAGTCTATCAGTGCGTCTTTTTCTAAATTACCGAAAACAAATGTACATTGTGTGAATGGAGGAAAGAGAACAACCCAATACTTTAATGCAAACACTCCCAGGAATGCAAGAAACTGATGTCCCATGCCCTGCTCCAACTGACAGAGCAAGGACTTATAACCTGCATCTCCCACACTTCACATGGGATGCCAAATCATGGGATAGAGCTATTCCAAGAGAGGCCCTGAGCAGAAACTCTGCCCTTGCCAGAGCCAAGGCTGCAAATGGATCAATTTTGCAATCATGACTTGCCCTCTAATTGGTAAAAGATTAACTGACTGAATTATCAGATTCAGGAAGTGGGACAGGGGGGAGAGGAAGGCCTTGGAATGTAAACTCTTAGAGGAAGACCACCAAGGCAAGATGTGTCAGAGCCATGTGCTGGTATCCTCAAATCCCAGAGGCATCCTGAGCATGGCTTGTGCACATGTGTCTGCGCTGCGCATGGATTTTGATAACACAGAGTGCTGAAACATTTATAAACAATTCCAAACAAGAGTTCAGCTCTAAACTCAACAGCCTGGACTCATTCTCACTTAACACAGAATTTATTGTTTATTTTAATGGAAAAACATTCACTCACATTCAACAAGACAAAAAGCCAGTGCAAGGGCAGCAAGCAAGGAAGAAGAAATGCAGTAAAGGAGCTGCTGCCAGTCCACCCACTGTCCTTCCCTCCACAGCCAGGGAAAGAGATGCCTTAATTGTTCCTGCAAATTATCCCATTGGTAGCTGCAAGTCCCAGGGGGGCAGAGAGAAGAAGAGTGCTGGATCAAACAGCAGCTCTAACTGAGGATGTGAACTGTAACACACAGAACCATCACTGACCACTGTGCCAGGAAAAAAAATCCTACTGATTTTAGTCATTAATTGCAGAGGAATAAAATGTAGATAGTCATTCTGTCATTTTTATTTTTTTTTTGCTAAAGGAAGGCTTTTCTTTGTTTTTCAACGCTACATTAAGAACAGAGTTGAGAAAGCAGAGCATAGGAAAATTGCATTTCATTTGGAGACAGTTACTAAGCAAATACCTACTCCCAGCCCAGCATCCCCCACCCACTTAGAATAAACTACAGCATCTCTGATTTCATGGGACTAGTATTTTTTAGAAATAGCTGATTTGTAATGTCATTACTATGAGGAAAACATAACATGCATCCTTTCAGTTTGGCACAAGCTACAATAAAATTTCCAGCCAGAAATTAGTAAACAAGATTTTTTTCTTCTACTATCTCTGGGGAAAAAAAACACTAACAGGCTAATTCAGGAGCTGCTAAACCCTGCCCTGCAGTTTTTGCACTGCTGTGTTCGAGCTGTGCTCTCACTGCTCTAATGCTGGTTTGCCACAGCACAGACATCTGTACAGTCATCATGTACAAACACCTGCAGCAAAATAATTCCCAAGGGAAGGAGCCTGTACCTGTATTTTCAGCTAATATGCAGGCATCTACCTCCCAGAACTACCCACACACCCTGAATGCGCGTGAACATCCCATTTCTTTAGCCAAAGTCTACAAAACAGCAGAACTTGCTGCAAAAAATGCACGGGCAACTACAGAAGAACTATTGCAATAGTGTCGTGCAAGATAATTCTAGACCACAAAGAAATCTAAGGAAATAAGAGCAAAAGGAGTGAATTTAAATAGCTATTTTGAAAGACCCCTTTCCTTTTCAGTGAAGCTGACATTCAAACTTACCTTACTGACTTCAGCAAGACTTTGTCAGAATTATGTTCCAGCTAGCTTCTAAATATTTGTCACAGGATAATGATTCTTTATTTCAACTTTATCTACACTTGATGTTTTTAGTTTGGCTGACCACATTCAAAAGTCAAATGTGGCTGTATCCACACAAATCAGCTTTTGGAAAAAAAAATCATGTATTTCTCTTATTTTACATTACAGATTTAACACTGGACTCTCTCTCTCATCACACATGGTCCACAGAAGCAGAAAAATGCTCCTCCTAAGTGGGCCACAGATGTGCCCACTTCACCCAGACTGCCCCATAGGCCACACAGGAGCTGCACTCAGCTGATCACTGACTGCAGCTGTCCCTGACACAAACTCCACTTCAGGGGTGGCTTTGCCAC